TAAGACAAGAGTTCTGCATTTCAAGTTTAAAATACACCGTTAAAAGACAAAAAATGGAAAGAGAAAGATCCAAAGAATGCTCAGCTTTCTTTTTGTGGAGGAAGGGAAGCTTTTCATCAAGAAATCGTCTTCAAGGAATTCAACCTTGTTTTCTTCACGACGGATCGGAGCGCATGGTCTGTTTTGAAATGCAACCAAGGCAGTGAAGTTTTTCAGGTACATTTTGCACTCTATGGCCAAGACAATTACGTTTTTGAAAGGGAATTTATGTATTTTTAAATGTTTCATAGACGTTTTATAACTTTTTCTCTTCGGCGCTTAAGAGAAAAATTACAAAATGTGCCCCGATTTGAGATGGTTTTTGTGTTGAATTTTGCCATGTGCTCAGCCGATTTCGCTTGCGTGAACGGATCCACGATCCAGATAGTGTTTTCCGAATTGCTTTAAAGGATTAACTTTTTGGACTTTGAATAAAAGTTTTCAAGAAACGTATTATCTGTCTATTCTTTTGAGTTTGTTCATTCATAAAATTAGCTCAAAACACGATCTTGACTACAACATCCAAGCTGAATTTAAGCTTAAATGCTTCTCACATTCATTACACGCATCACTTTTTGCGAAGATGTCGGGTTCAGGTTTTGGACACTTTTCGATACGCAGCTCATGAAGTTTATTCGAAAATATTTTTTACTGTTTATTCTAGACTTTTAGTATAAGAATTTTAAAAGCCTATAGTTTACTGTGCACAGGGTCAACGAGGCATCGTTTTTTGAAGTGACAGCTTCAAGTAGTTGCGAGGACGTCAGTGGGTTTCATAATGTTACGTTTGGCCCGGGTGGTAAGGCAATAATATCCTGCTCAGTGTTTCGGTGAAATTCCTGGTCTCAACCTTTGAAAGCTTTCTCGGCTTTCGGGAGTTTTTCCCTCCTTTGTCAGCCATTTTTTTAAGCGGGCGCGGGAACCTGAAGTAAAATTACGTCACGTTGTTTACGGAGTTTGATTGGTCAGTTATCTCTTCTTCTCGTTCCAAATATGGTACTTTCGAAAATGAATAATCACCAGCATCGGACAAAGCAAACATATGAGAGTTACACGTTTCAACCCCTTATGAGTTTCTGTTAAAATTCATTGACGACTACTCTTCATCCAAGTTAACAGGTCCTAGCATATATTGTGAAAAATGAAACAAATGTCCCAGTAATTAATAAATCATCAATTTGGTTTTCCATCATGCTGCCGAAGTCGTTATACACTTCTGCACCTTACCCTACATGCACTATGTTGAGTCTCTTTTTTTTCAGCCCAATTGTTACGACTATATTTACCATATATATTTTTTTGGTCCGGACAGAGTTTAAGACAGTAGCTGGTTCGTTTACCACAGTCACTCTTCAAGTACGAAGATGTATCTTTTATTAACGTCATCCCTGAGACCACCATTGGGGCAAAATCATCAGTCATGTTTACCGTGGAAACATGACAAAGAGCGGATTCTTATTCAAACCAATATTTAGGATATCGAACACCGTCGAAAGTAAAATCTTTAACGGGGCCTATATAAAGGAAAACGCCGCTTAGTGTATCCTCCTTGCGATTTAGACAATTGGTGATGGAATATCAGTGATCTAAGCCTATCTACTGCGAAAGACTCTACGTGTTGCGCTGAATTAAAAAAAATAAAGATTTAGATATATTAAAAGGTAACTGAGATAAAAAGGTGTCCAGATAAAACTCTTGTACGTACGTAATTTTAGGAGCTTATAGCATACGGAAGAAACGGCGCTCAGTAATCACTTCTAGCACACGCTTTTACAATGGGTGTTAGAAATGGAAAAACTCGGGATAGAACTAGTGTAGACGAAAAGACGGTTTAAATAACAATTCGGACGTAGACGTTTTCCCAACTAGGGTCTCCAAGGATAGATGATTTACTGATAAAATTGAACAAGTGATGGCCTTACATATGTTTAAAAAATAAATTCCAAACGAAGAAAAAATACAGCTAAAAAAATGACTGACAAAGTACCTTCTTTTTCCAGAGAATCCGTCAAGTGTTTAGGAGCGGATTCAACCTGCAAAAGAGCAAGCGTTAACAAAAGAAAGGGCAGGCGAGTCATCTTGATAACAGCCTCAGTGACGTTATTGAAGACTTTTTTACTGTTCTTTGCGTGACTTTTATGCGGTTTTCCGTTAAACATATGTACGAACCGCGACGTCTTTTGATTAAGTTTGGCGCCAGTTAAATTTCACAAGAGACAAAGATAAACATCGTTTACTATAAGTCAGTCCTACCAGCCTGCTCATTCATCGCACGGAAACCTAAACTGAGATATTTTTCACCTCTGCTCTTTACTCTTCTGGGTTGCATCGGGGCACCGAATCATTTACTTCCTTTGTTGCCTTTTTCTTTGAAAGAAAAAATCATTTTCCATTTGGCTTCAGTTAAATTAAAATATATTTAACTAGTTGCTAGTTGACGCTGTCTAATTTTTAATGGATCATCTCACTGTGTCCAATTAGTATCTAGGCATGTTTAGTAGCGATTCTCAGTACTTTTCATAAATTAAAAACAATAACCTTTTTACGATCAACAATTTTAAGATTAATCATAACTATAACAAAATTCTCAAATCTGATTGGTTCTCAACTGCCCTGATTTCAGCCTTAATTGGACAGTTTAACAGGACAGTACGCGTCATGCCTAAGTAATTGGACAGTACGCGCCATCACGCGCGCGCTTAAATGGCTTTTTTTTTTTCATTGCTAGCGAAAAAATCTTGTAATTTCTTGTGTTTTGATTTAAAAAGAGCCCTATATATCACAAATTTTGTTAAAGTTATGATTAATTGGTAACAGAACTTCGTGTCGTCCAATTCGGTCTGAAATCATACTCGTGATTAAACAAATCGGACTCCCGCTACGCGGTCGTCCGATTTTGTTAATCACTCGTCTGATTACAGACCGAATTGGACTCCACTCAGTCCTGTTACCATTACATATAGCTGTTATTTTGCTGAATAGTATTTATAGTGTGATCTATAACATCAAGTCCCTTTACAATGTCAAAATTTTATTTGCACCTGTAAATTTGTATATTTAAAAAAAAATTGTTGTATTCCCCTGTTTATTATAATTATACTGAGCAAAGTATTATAGCATCAGAATCAACTGTCGATGGCAAAGGCAAATTAAAGGAAAAAGCAAGTATGTTACTCCCTTTACTTTCCCGAATATGGCAAAGAAACGGGAATACCTTCATAAATTTATTGATATGAAAGCAAATGTTTTGTAAGTTGTATACAAGAGCCGCTCACAAGCTTTCCAAATTAAAACCTACAGCTTCAAAAATCTGACAGCTTCTCACTTTTATTCAGTTGATCCAAGAAACGAGGCGTTTGTGAGACGAACAGTTTCACTGATCATTATATCGCTGCCTTTTTTCGCTGCCGGCCTTTTGCTAGAAGAACTTGCGTGATCACAGGTTGCGGGCCCACAGTGGGGTTACTTGGCGGTAAAAGCTTTTTTAAAAGCTTGTATCGCCATTATTATCAGTAGCGTAGTATGAGGCTGGACAGCTATGGCTCAAAACGCTCTTTTTGTAATTTAAAACGTATTTCCAATTTAAATTTGTAAAAAGAGACTAAAACCTTGCCTCCAGAAGTATATTTAATCGTTATTAGTTGTTTTAGCAAGAAGACTTGCGGTCTCCTTTCTTGACTTATAAATGTATACACCTAATTGCAATAACGTAGTCATAGAAAAAAGCAAAAAGCCAAATAGGAATGAATTAGCCATGTGATTTACATTTGCGTATTTTAATTCTTTAACAGTTATTTAAGAATTCATTCACAATAACAAGAGATAATTCTGTAATTCCGCGCTGTAAGGTAGACAGGCGCCATAGTCATTTTAGAGCCAACATTCACCATCAACAGAAGTCGCACAATTCGAAAAAGAAAAAGGCAAATTGACGCGAGCAATGTTATGTCTCAGTTGTCGCACTTTCAGTCGCCAATCTATTATGTCCTGACAAACGAAGCTTGGTTGTGGCTCACGTGAGGAACTGGCGGAGGACCCCTTTACCCTCCCCGCGATGAAAAGTCCTACCTACGCCCCTGATTTGTTGCTTGAAAATTGTGACCGTGGTGATTCCATACATTTACTATTCAAATGATCGGTAGAAATGCTTCATAAAACACAGAATTTTGCACCTTTTGATCCCAAATGTTGATATAATGTAAGTTATCTTTATTTATTTTTCTTACATTATACCTAGTGGCTATTCGTACCGGACACGTACATCGACTTGTATTTGCTATTCATACGGGATTCTGACTAAATTGATTAGGGTTAAGCACTAACAATACTGATTAGGGTTAAGCAATGAAAATAGTGATTAGGGCTAAGCACTGACCATGCTGATTAGGGTTAAGCACTGACTCGAAACGGTTAGCTTCTATTTAGGGTTACGGTTGTTGCTATATGAATGAAAATGAAACTCCATCTAGCAGAGAGTATCCCGTGGTAGAGTGGTTAGGCTACACGACTACACGACGCTACACGACTCTGGCACGGCAGCGATTCAAACGTCGTGCTTATGCCGTGTCGAACTAAATGCATAAATTTCGGAAATGTATTTTCGCGGGAACTGTTATCTTGCGAGTCCCGCGAGTAGCTTCGAGGAAAAATGTCCTCCAATGAGCATGCGCATTGATTCAAAAAATTACCCCAGAGCTCCTCTGCGCATGACGGCCAGGAATCAGAAGCGTAAGCACTGGGGTCGAGAATGGTTTAAAACAAACATGGCGGCTTTCCGTGCAAGTTTGCATGTTCCTTCCTCCTTGGTTTGCAGTGCTGCAGAGTCCGACAATTCATCAGAAGACGAACTACCTTTTGACGAAAATATTCCACTAGATGGCTATAAAGATGAAGAGGAAGACGAGGAAGCGATCGGTGATGTTGAGTCAGTTTCATCGCAAACGAGTCGTCCAACCTCGGGTTCAAAGAAAAAGGCGGGAAGAAGACCGACTTGGAGAGAAGACGACGTAACTGACCTGGTAGATATTGTGTGCAATAGTGAGTATTTTAAAAGAAAGATTTTATTTACGAACTCAAAGAACACCAAAAACAATGAGATTTATGGCAAGTTGTTGAAAGATTTAAAAGAACGGGCTCTTGCACGAGGTGACGAATTTTCATTTACTGTGAATCAAGTGAGGAACAAATTAAAGAAGCTGATCAGTGAATGTAAAAAGGCGGCCCTCGCTATTAAAACCGCTACAGGTATTGATCGCTTTCAAGAGGAAAAAAATTATGGTCCATGGTTTGCAGTGCTATTTGCATTGGTGAAAACGCGTGATTCTTGTCAGCCAGATCGCGCGATTGAGCCAACGGCTAGCGGTAGCAGTGATGTTTTGAGCAACGGAAGTGATCATTCATCAGCATCATCAAGCCCTGTACCTGTTGATGACAGCGAGGAAAGTGCTGGTGAGAAAAAGCTTTTTGTTCCAATAAAGAATAGAGGGAAGAAAAGAAAAGATTTTGCTTCTAGCGCTGTTGAATGTATGGAGAAGTTGTTAGAGAGAGACCCAACCAAAGACCTTCTGGAGTTTTACCGCGAAGAGAACGAAAAGGCTAGAAAGCACGAGATGCAACTCATGCAAATGATTATGTCAGCACAAGTGCAAGATTCTGGGCATTTCCCGCCTCAAGGAAACTCCCTGCAGTATGGGTATAGTTACCCGTCACAACATTCCTATCAATATATGGAAAGCGGGAATATGGCACCAAATTATATAAACCTTTGATGTTTTATTGAAAACATGTTCAAATTATTGTTTATTCCAATAATGGAACCAGAAATATGTTACAAATTCGTAGTTTCTTTTTTTTCAACAAACTTTACTGTCATTTTTTTCTGAAAAAGTGCTTTTGTCTACTGAAGACAGAAACTCGGAGAGACAGTTTATATTGGGTTCTCCCTGCTTGTCCATTTCTTGATATTTTTAGCATGATGAAATAACATGTTCCGTTTTGTTTGAACTTAAATAGGTTCCTCCACATTTGCTCTATGACTGATGGTGTTTTGAAAATACCAATTTTTTTAGTGTCCTGAAGTTATCTCACGCATGAGGTAGTTGTGTTCCTATGTTGGCTAGATATTTCTGAAGCAGTACCACTGTTTTTGAATAATCAATTTTCACCCTTTGAAGTGAGTTGTAACTGAGCACTGTTGATATTATCAGAAAAAGATTAAAAGCAACAATTCCTGTTCTCAAACATTTGTTTATTTCGCATTCAACTTTTATGTTAGCGTACCTATAACAGTTGTAATTTTTTCTGTCACAATTTTTTTTTCTAACATAATAGTCACTGTATCTTCCTTGAAACAGGAAGGAAATTACATGTTATATTAACTTTGGTAAAATGAAGCAAACGAATTTTATTTTTAAAGACTGGCAACTAAAATATGACTCCAAACAACCCAAAATCCGTATTCAGTGGCAAATCCAGTACTTGAGGAAAGGGGGGGGGGGGGGGGTACTTATCAAGGCCCTGATCTATTAAAAGCACACTCTCAAAAAGATCCATGGCCTCCACTGGATCTGCCACTGATAGCCTTTTTACCAATATAAACCAGACACAAACAAGGAAAAAAATAGAAATGAAACCAGACTAAGAAATGTGCTACATCGTGCAATGTTCAAAAAACTCCATCTCCTTGTTTTTCCCTCCAAAACTTCTGCATAAGCACATTTCGTATCTGGTTTGCTTGGTAACAGTTATCCCTTATACGAGGACAATCTGACATGTTCAGCAGACGCCTGATCACATCCCTTGGTCTCCTCTGATTGGTAGCTGGGTCAAAGGTGACATTTAATTGTCTACATAACGTTTCGCCCCTTTCAATACAAATGTTATGAAGAACAATACACGCAAGTGTGTTATCTCTGACTTCTTCTTGGGTACTCTCGCATCTCCTTAGAAGGACTCGCCACCTGCCTTTAAGCTCCCCATATGCCTCTTCGGTGACCATTCTGGCCCTGCTAAGTCTGTAATTGAAATACTGTTGTTGGGGAGTTAACACAGCATTTGTAAATGGTTTCATGAGCCAGCTTTGAAAAGGAAAAGCTGAATCTCCCAGCAGAAGAGGGGGAATTTTTACACCACCGATTTCTTTACCTATATCAGGTATTGTTTGTCCTCCTGTTATTTTACTCCAAAGGTTGGTCGACTGAAAAATTATAGAATCATGAGAATTGCCAGGAAATCCACAACTCGCCCAAATGAACCTACGTTTAGCATCTACCATTCCCATCAAGACGATTGAATAAACGTTTTTAAAGTTGTGGTATTCTTTATTGACTTGAAGACCACCAGGCGGGCATTTCAGAGGAATATGGCATCCATCAATAGCCCCCCAACTACAGGAAAACTGCCGCATTTCCTCCATATCCAAAATTTTTTCGCTAAATTGCTGTTTGTCCTTCGGAAAGTGTTGATCAACTTGCTCATTCCAGAGATTATTGATGATTGCCTTTGTAACATCGCTTACTATGCCACAAACTGTTGAGGTACCAAGACCTGTCATTTCAGCTATTGTGTAGTAATAATCACCCCTTGCTAAACGGTAAAGGCACACTGCCAATCTAAATGCCGGTGAAATTGGATCTTCTGTGACGGTATCACGTTGTAAATCGCGTTGTATACGACCAAGGATAAAATTAAAAGTGGCTTTTGATACACGAAACGTTTTCTTGAACCTCTGATCAGTGTATGTGTTCCATACCTCTTCGAACCATCCCTTGTTAAGAGGAAGCCGTCGACATGATCGATCAGCAGTGGTTTTCTCGGAAGAAATAAGAAGAGCAGAAAGGAAAAAAACTTCTAATAATAACATTCGCCTGACGGTGAAAAGGAAAAGGATTTTCTGCTGCATTTCTTTTCTTCTCCTCCTCGAGTTTTGTAAGAGTTTTACCAGTAGCAATTTACGCCGGAAGTTACGGTGCTGCGCCATTTTCGTCACCGATTACCGCTGTACCGGCTGACTACTGTGCGAACACTGAATTAAGTTCGACTCTGGCACGACGTCTGAATTGAAGTCGTGCTTGTGCCGTGCTTCTCTCGAACCCAATATTAATTAGGTTCGGCACGGCAGAAGCACGACGTCTGAACTGGGCCTTACACTTTCATGGAAATTTAGTGACCAGAAATTTCAAGAGACTTGATCCCGTATGAATAGCAAATACACTTCGTTGTACGGGTCACGTACGAATAGCCACTGGGTACATTATATCAACATTTGGGATCAAAAGGTGCGAAATTCTGTGTTTTATGAAGCATTTCTACCGATCACTTGAATCAAGCCGAGTGCGGGCGTTACAAAATACAGTAAATATACGGGATAGAATAGAATAGAATAGAATAGAAACTTTATTAAAGTGTCAAAAAACCGTCTAGCCAGGGAACAAATCCCTTACTAATTTGGGGACACCAATTAGGGGAGAATATACAAACTAAAAACTATATACAGTAGTAGGTAAAATATCTATAGTTAACTAATTAAGAGATTTATAGTAAAAATACACAGAAGTCAAAATGAACAAAGGCTACAGCCTGCGCAGCCATCATCTAAAAGTTCACTTATATTGAGTTGGCGTATCTTGCTTTTAAACGACGTTAGGGTTGTGACGTCCCTGATACTCTTGGGTAGTTTTGTCCATAGCCTAGGCCCTAAATATGTAATAGAGTGCTTGCCATAGGTGACTGTCTCATACCTAGGTATAGAGAAATCTGCTTGCCGCAGATTGTAATTACTATTTGGTTCTTTAAAGATGTTACTTATATATGCAGGGCACAGTTTATGCTTTACTTTATACATAAGGATGCACAGATCCTGTAAGCGACTATTTAGTAGTTTTGGCAGATCTGCCTTCTCTAATAGTTGTTCATAACTAGAATTATTATCCTTGAAAACCGCTCTAAGTCCTCTTTCTTGTAGTCTTTCAAGCTTTCGAGTGTCACTCGCTTTACAAAAATGCCACTAGGTGACAGTACGTGAGGAATGGTAATATCGCGCTTTTGAATAATATTAACTTAGATTTCATAGGAATTAAATTACGTAGTCTCATTAGAACACCAATTCTCTGGCTGGCTTTTTACAGATAGAGATTACATGCTCAGAGAAATTTAGCTTAGAATCTAACACTACTCCTAGAAGTATGATATTATCTTTAGTTTCAATCACAACATCATTCACGCAAATATTGCTGTCATTTTGAGTGAAGCCCAAGTTCAAGACTTGGTACTTTTTGAGGTTTCCCGCCAATAAGTTAGAATCGTACCACGTTGTTGCTAAGTTGGCACTATCCTTTAACTGGGAAGTCACAGCTGCCTGGTCTGCTCCTGCGTGGTAAATTTGATGGTCGTCGGCATACATAGACAAGTTCGCTGTTAGGCAGTAGGATAGGTCATTCTGGAAAACATTCCATAACAACGGGCCAAGCGCGGAACCCTGAGGACAGCCACGACTCACGAATCGGCTCGAACTAACATGACGGCCGATCTTTACTTGATATTTCCGTTCATTTAAATAGCTGTTCAAAAGTTGAATACACACATGTCACATGTCGCGCGTGACATCACGATCCCTCGAACAGTTCGGATAGTCTACCTGTGGTAATACGTAGAAAAAAGTGTACACTTTTCAAATATGAACAGAAGTATCAATCATATGTAGAATAGAGATAAATCCAAACCAGAAAAATATGTTAAGCTTGTCCAATTTTTATATGTGATTTCGCATACAAAAATGTGTAATTGCACGAGGCTTAAAAAGGCTTAATATCATTTTCATTACTTTACCTGTGTTTTGTTTTCATCATGGCCCTGGTCCAGCGGCCAGGCGGTTATGCATAAGGTGGTAATTTTCATGCCTGCCTTTGACTAATGACTCAGTCAGGTGGTTTGGCCCGCCTATAGTGTTACTAGGGGTCATGGATTGGAATAACACATGTTTTGAGTTATTTTAATTTGTGATTTGATATCTGAATTGAATATCTGAAGCTGTGTTTTGTTTTGTAGAGGAGGAAAAATGTACTTGATTGCTAAGACTCTAGAGAAAAAACCTTCTTATATCTTAAACCTAATATGTGATTATTTTGTAAATGAAATTTAATTTAAGTAGTTTACCTTAACCATGTTGGTCAAGATAGCATTATTGTGTTAGTTCAGTTAGAAGGAACTCTAAAACACTCGGTCCTATTTTCAACCCTCATGACCGATACAATAAATTAAGAACACTTTAATATCGACTAAAACAAGTCTTGTTTTTTTTTTCAATTTCATTTGTCACGCAGGTTGCAGCCACAAGAGGACAATATCTAGAAGAAGCAAAAAAGATGCACCACCATCCATTTTTACTGTGGGAAAGGCATTACACCATGACTGGAAAAATACTAATAATTGGAGCGGAAGACGTCCTGTTAACTATCTTTGCCGGGTACCACCGTGAAGCTCAAACCTTGAACCTCCTCCGGATCCGGCTCCGACCTAATCACTGATTTGTGATAGGACAGTACGCATCACTCCTAAGCAGTTAGACAGTACGCACCATGGCTTGCACACTTGACCTTTCATTTTTACTTATTGTTAGAAGTCTAGCTGCTTATTCAGTGATTAAAAATGT